CCCAAACATCTGAAATCGTCGTCGAATGACTACATCCTAGCCCTAACGAATTATGCATATGTACCTTTATAAAGAAAGTAGGACCATTTTTAAATAGGCGATTTCCAAGACGTACTTTGGCTAGTTTGGAGAACCCTGAAATTTCAACCATCTTTGATCTAAAATAACCAAGTCAATAACATTTCGATTTATGGAGAAAAGATATCACAAGAAAGTTCCATATATTCTAAAAACATATACTGGAACAGCAGACCAAAACTTATAATGCGCGCTCAGCACGGCACATGATGTTTACTGCTTTATTTAGCGACATTTCTTGGACATTTCGCGTCATTTTTGGTTTGATTTTTGAAGTACTCTAACTTTTCTTCATTTTGTGTTTCATGGCTGAAACTTCAGTAAATATGTGGGGTTGGATAGGTCTACAATATATATAAAATCGAAGGAAATTGAAGAACTTTCAGTTTTTCATATCTGCCAGAAAATGGTGAATTATTGCGATTTTTACAGACAAGCTCTCTTAAATTAACTATATATTGGATGAGTTGCAGGAAAACATGGGTAATATCTTCATTCTTTGCAGTTTTTCATGGATAATGTAGCCGCATAGAATTAATCAATTGTCAGTATTTTAAAGATATATTATTTAAATGATAAAGGTCTACATGATTTTGAAAAAAGAATGAATATTATATCATTGCGGCACATGCAGATAACATCGCTATTGTTAGATTCGAGGTTTGTCTGACTGTCTGTATACCTAATTTTAGTGCGCAGTGATAAAAGTAAAATGTGCAGTGATATATAAAATGTAAAATGTGCAATGATAAAATTTGCTGTGATAAGTTGTTAATTTTGAGACATGAAATGAGGCAATGAACAGAAAAACTGAACTAAAAATTCGTCTTGAGACTTGACAGTATACTAATCAAAATATTTTGAATGAGAATAATTTGAACGAAATTGAAATGATAACTGCCAAATTAACGAACGTCCGCACTAATATTATACTTAAGGTTCATCAGATGAACAAAGTCTCCCATCAAAGATCTCTTTATGATTTATGAGCTTGGAAGATGGAGTGAATGGTACTTTTTGTAATTAGTGAAGAATCTTCAGAATTCTATAGAATATCCCCACACATGGTCCATATGTAGATACACTAATTGAAGGCATGACAGAAAGCTATTGAACCTTTTAATATGTTTTATATTTGCATTAATTTGTAAAACTATCAATCGAATTAGTTTTCTACAGATTCCACTATGGGAGTACTCAAAGTAAAAGCACAAAGAAAAACTGAAGAAGTATTTTGCCTCGCGCGAACTTTTCACCTTCAGAAAAGCATCTCACAAGCATTAAGTTTTTCCATCACAATTTGATGGAGTCAAACCATTGAAAAGTCGGTCAAAATATCAGGACCTCCCCCATGTTAACGACTTCGCGACGTCCCTGTCTACATAGAACTTGTAAATCATGAACTCTCTCGTAAATTGATCTCGCATTAAACTCATATTTGTCTTCTTCCTTGTGAAAAATTCACTATATTATTTTACATGGGAAAACGAACATTTCATGTCGTTGAAATTCAGAATTTTCACATATGAAATTGGAGTTTCGCATATTCTTTCACTTATTATATGAACAATGATTTCATATGTGAAATTATGATTTCAGACGGGAAATTGAACTGAACAGAACTGTTCCAACAGTTATACGTTTACATGCAGTGAAGACAGTTCATGGGGAATTTTTATAAGGACTGGTACAGATAAATTTTACTGAAGCTAACCATTGATGTTTATATAGGTGATAAAGGTGAACTAGGATTTAGGGTAGGTATTTCTTGTCTTCTCTTTGTAAGTAGAAGTGTTGTATGCAATTAGCCTCTCTCATTAAGGCAAAAAAAGAAAGCCATTTGGGGGGGGGGACTGTCTACCATCGTGAAAGATTCTAGACAATCCAAACAACGTGAAAAGCGACTTTTAAAAGTTCTAACTGTAAATGTACCATTATGCAAACAACTATAATACTAAATATTTGTATTCCTTGGTGCGGAGACTCTCAAATGTGGGAGAGATGTTAACATCAGTAACACACTCTTGGTTTTTAAAAAGCAACAATTGCCCAAAAATACGGGTCTAAATCATAAAACAACTGTATAGTGAGCCACCCTAATGATTTAATTCGATACTAAAGTCGACGCGCAGGAGCAACAATAAATAGCAACCATTTTTATGCTCAATCCTCCATAGCTTCCAACCTCGTTTTTGAACGAGGTTGCATAACTTCCTATACTCTTACAGTCCTGCTTCAACCACAGAACAATACAGTAACCACATCATTGCAGTGATAGCCTGAGTGTCGGGCTCCGAGCAATAGGCGACTTGCAGCTACCATTACACGTGGCCTAATTAGCCTTTCTCATGATGACGAATATCCGCCATTTTTGGGTGGCATCTAATTCTCGTTAACCAATGCAGACAATTAATACAATGTGAAAAGCATTTTTTTAAATAAACTAACCATTTACAAAGCAAATTTACCATCATTCGTTCAAAAAAATTATAAAAAGTCGCTGTTATGTGGACTTATCTCGCAGACTTCGGCTGAAAAGCCACCCAAAAATGGCGGCGTTAGAAAGGTTAATTCATCTAAATCTCGAATTTTCAACGTATTTTCGCGTGCCTTGACACACTAAGTTCGACAAGAAATTAAATAATATCAAACTGTTTTCGTAGACGTTTCTTGAGGTTTGAGTGTATAAACTTGCTTTCAAGACAGTATAATTAATTATAATCACGTGACCGCCAACAGTGTCGCTGATTTCTATTACATACTCTGACCGCCGAAACACCTTCATGGTGCGTTCTTTCGACATTATTCCCTGTTTTAAAATTCATTTAGTTTTCTCAGTCAGCTCATATTGTTGGACGTGGTGTAGAAGAAAAACCATCATATATTGTAGGAAGAGGTATTCTTTATATTTGTGTAACCTGGTGAGAAATCAAAGCTGTACCATAATTATTTTACTCTTACAGTCTTATGACTAGGTGGGCCAGCACAAAATTTCACGTTACGATGCATGTAATTTCCATTTTATAATTAGTGGGCCACAGTAAGTATATTTGGTATAAAGCAAACGGTAATTTGTCTTTAATCCTGTATGGTTTTAACATGTTACACTCGGGCCAGGTGGATATAGTGCATCCCGTGAAGCAGAAAGAGAAAGCCACAAATCCACAAAGTTTGGTTTAACATGCAGTGTTTAATTAAGATATTTTTAAAACTATTTCTAATCAATAGAATTATTACTGAAAGTCTGTAAATATTGTTTTGCTTACAAGAATTTTAATTGCAGTACGAGAGCTGTAATACAAATTGTTTTACGACAGTTTTCTGGTCATTTTTGTCACGTTTCTAAAACAATCACGTCAGTTTCGGTGCACAGTGCAAGGATATCATTGCACTATTCACCTCCACGTCGGTCGTGAAAATGCATTACTGTAGCTTACTATAATAGACCTTTCCAGTAATTACGTCACAACTGGATTTTGACTATTAAATGTGGAAATAAGCTTAAACACAAAAACGAGGCTGATGGGCCCTGGCCCCCTCTTGGCACCTCAGCCTCATTTTCGTGTTTAAACTTATTTCCACATTTATTGCACCCTTGTACCAGAGGCTCTTTGCGAGGCGAAATAAACGAGAGGCGAGAAGGAAGAGCCTCTGGTCAACATCGGTTGCAAATGAATCAGAATTTGAATCTCGCATGTGATTGGCCATTTGTAAGAATATGTCAAACAGGTTTGGGAAATAAACATTACTGGAAGCTAATTATAGCTATTTATAGCCTGCAGAAATGTTTATTTCCCAACCCGTTTGACATACTTGTACAAATGGCCAATCACATGGGAGATTCAAATTCTGAACCTAATCAAGTGTTGAAGTGGGATTTGCAACCGATGTGACCAGAGGCTCTTCCTTCTCGCCTCTCATTTATTTCGCCTTTCAAAGAGCCTCTGGAACCAGGGTACATTTATTGGTCAAAATCCAAAATTCTTTTTATGCATGTGCTGAAGAGAAATGTTCTGCTTCTCTGACCATAGCCCGTGAGAAACAAACTTAAAATCCATTCCATTTAAGGTAGTCCTACGTTGAAAACAGTGTTAATCGTGACGTAATTACCGGAAAGGTCTATTCGTCTCAGTATTTTTAATAACTGATATATAACTTGAAAGGCTTCAATCAGACATCAAAGACTATTATAGCCTTTCCAGTGAATGTATATTATCTTACAATGTTCACGTATTATTGTTTTGTTTACAGCGTACCTACTAAAATCGTGGATAGTCAGTCATCGGGCGGGACAAATATCTTACTCAAAGGGTTACCTCATTGTTGGTCAAACAGGATATTACTATGTGTATTGTCAGTTATATTCAAGAGATGCTGATGCAACATCATACAATTTTCTCCTCTACATTGACGAGAAACCAGTGCTGAAGGCGGTCAAACCAATAATAAGTTCAAGAAAGACTTACAACAACACAAATTATATTGGAGGAGTGTTCCGGATTGCCGCTGGCCAAAGAATCAGTGTTCGTACACAGTATAAGAATCTCTTTATGTATAATAGTACGGACTCATTCTTTGGCGCATTTATGATTCATCCTTAATGCCATCGAGTAATGTTTGCATTAAAAGTTGACATTGAACAAAATGAAGAATAAAATCTTTATTAAAGTCATATTATAATGCCGGATTTCAGCTTCCTTTGTAGACAACATCATCTAAACATTAAAACGCATCAGTCCTGACATCTGTTTTGCGTTTAACAATTCTGGTCAGCGAATTAAAGTTCAACTCTGTTTTTAATTAATTATTTTAATAAAGATTACAACATACTAGCCACTTGGCCACAGAATAGAGACCTTGCAGAAGGCCGACTCAGCCAGAAAGCGTAACCGCCGCCACGCCATGATTCGCAATAGTTCGTCATCAAAATGCACTCGCCATGTTCCTAGCGAGTGACCTTGTCATGTTCCTAGCCAGTACCTAGCTAGCCATTCACCATCGCAAGCGCACTGACTAGGACATAGCGACATCATTGCAACGTTTACGCCAAAATCGTAGACAAAACAAGTCGGCCTTCTGTAAGGTCTGTATCTATTCTGCATGTGACTTGGCTTCATTCCATTTCAACTTGCATGTATTCTTGACATAATTTCGTACAATTCTCAATGGTGAATATAAATTTAATTTTGGAAAAGGAAGATAAATCTACCTTGTTACATTATAGTGGAAGAGATCAGGTGGAGCCAATGAAAGAAAGAGGTATATGTGCTCAGCCAAAGGAGCACTTTAGGCAACTGTAAAAATATTTTTAATGTTATATAGTAGCAAAGTGAACAACAAAAAAACTGGTGATAGTAGTACATCGTATAGTATAGTATAGTATAGTATAGTATATAGTATAGTATAGTATAGTATAGTATAGTATAGTATAGTATAGTATAGTATAGTATAGTATAGTATAGTATAGTATAGTACAAACGCATTACCATTATTTTAATAATGATTAAAATCATTGTAAATACGCAGAGCCTTTATTCACTGTCACCACACATTAATGTAAAATAAAAAAATTTGTTTTTGGGAGAGGTTTTCAGATTGAAGTTACAAGCTTGTAATTGCTGTAAATAAAATGAAAATTCTGTGTTTAAGTTCAAAAGTGTAAACATGCATGCAAGTATGAAGAATGATTTGTCTTGTTAAAAATATTCAGATTATTAAATTCTCAGATTATCACGTTCAAATGTTGTGCTACAGCTTATCATGCATGTGATGAACATATAATGTGTATACATGACCTGAGTGGTTATATATTACTACCTTAAAAAACAAGCAGAAACTCGACGTTTCGAGCGAAGGCCCTCCGAGTTTCTGCTTGTTTTTTAAGGTAGTAATATAACCACTCAGCACAGCATTTTCACATTGGTACTACCCACACTGGTACAGACAGTTTTAGTATATACATGACCTATTTACATTCACAATACTCAATTTATTTTGGGGGAAAATTCAACATTAATTATCAACAGGGTCTAACTGATTTCTCAGAAAAGAGCACTGCAAAGTATATATGCATGATCATGATATCAGTAATCACTAATCAGTAATACTATGACTATGTTGTCAAAGTTTTGTACCACGTTGTTTATTTAATTAAAATACTTATACACTGCTATAGATTTTAAACAATGATTGCAACGCCAATGAGCATGCTAAATCAAAGATATAAGCGCATAATGCGTCGTTCATATATATGATCCGATTTTCATCGGCACGGTCTAAAATAAATATATAGACAAGGAAGCCAAAAAATATTCGTGCCTTACACAGCGAAAAGTGATGATAGCACCCATAACAGGCTTTTAATATCCTGTACTGGAAAATACACACATCACCTATACTCTGAGAGCAGAGACTGGTTTAAGTATCGGATTCACTAGACAAGCACTGCATGATTGTATTTAATGTTCACATGTCATGATTATTTCTGTACATTGCTTCAACCTCATATAAAAATTTCCAAAGAGTTGAATCAACAGTTCAAACTTTTTCTTCTGTTATTGAAAAAACAATGAGCTTGGTCTTGGAACTAGCTAATCCTTTGACGTTCATTCAACTTCTCAAAAATAACTAAGATTCACATGAAACTCACCGGAAAGACGTCAGCGTAATCAATCTCATTTCCTTGAATGTCTGGGTTTGGCCACTTTACATTGTTTTAGTTTTTCTAGCAAAATGAGTTGGCATGCACGCCAGCGATCTATACAGACCACACATATATGGTTATGCTGGCACGTACACTAAGATTTCACAACAGTGTTTCAGGAAAATTTTGATAAAATGTAGCTATGTAGCTTCGAGGAAGTAATATGTTTTACACGGATTTTAAAAAGAGAAAAGGTCTCTTCATAAATATTAATACTGCAAAATCAAAAGGTTCCACAGTAGCTTTATTAGCCTATAATTGTAAATCCTCATTAAATTAAGTACTGTATTATTATTATTAAGATTTGTTTTTCGTGTTTCTCTGTACCGGAACAAATATTATTATTTAGCACATCCAATGTTTCCACTCATCATTAAATACGATTCTGCAAGAGATATTTAATATAAGTATATATAAAGCCAACTATAATGACAAAGTGTTGTCAAAGTCAACTATAGTAAGTTTATAAATTACAAATAAGAAATGGCGTTTATAATCATATGTGGTTTACTGTGAATGCACAAATTTAGTCACAACATATACTCTATAGCATCAGCTGACAAACAATGATTAATTTCCGATTACCATATCAGTTCTAATTTTCTAAAGTACGACAACTTCCTCAGGAAAAGAAAGTTAAATTAACATAAAAAATACTGTTTCACTGATCAACATGATTAAACTCTAATTACTCAAATTATTTACAACTTCGCAGACTGTCTGTAATTGACGTAACTGACCTTCCTCTATATATTTTACATCAATTACCTTCAAGGCAATAAAAGATACTGAATATAATGTTATACCTCAATTAACACAAGTGTAGATTCATATCAGCTAAAAATATACAGCTGTATTGAATGAAAATATGAAATATTACTACATTGTCTTTACTAAAAAATATGTACTTGTATAGTGTGTATGTATAGTTAGTATAGAGTATCATGGAGCATACAGTATGAGTGGAGTAACTCTTTTGACACACTTGTACCCGGCATAGCCCAAGAATATCCTTTCATGAGACTGTATACTAGAACTCCTATAATATACCCACTGGTCTGTCTCTATGTGTCACAAACGTCCATTATGACTAGTATTTAGATATGCATGTATAATACGAAATATCTACGTCAGGCTTAACAACAGAGGAAAGACAGCCTATACTGAAAAATAAACCAAATAAATTTATCATGCACAATCAGTGTTTTAACCGCATACCATACGCTGTGCGTAGTTTTGACGTAACTTGAAACCAATATTGTTTTTAATAATGTTTCCGTTTCATTATAGTTGCGCTTACTTTCCTGTTCCCTGGATTCCTTTTTTAATGTGTTGCAATATTTTTGACCGCCATTTGAGTCCATACATGTTTCTTGCCTATAAAGGTCGCCTCCATTTTGGACAAAATTCAGTGTTTCTAGTTTGACCTGTATATACTCTGCATGCTTTCCGGAACCGATCGATTTCTTATATAAACTACGATGAACGCAGTAAGAAAGGTGGTAACCCCTCTAGTACCCTCCATTTCATGTTTTTATCTCCTACCCACCCACATAATTCATTAGCCTAAGGGGCGTTTTCTCTCGGTGCACCTTCCACCTCGCAATCTTTATCCTACCCAAATTCAAAAAGTTCAGTCATGGCTGTCTAAAGACGGAAGCTCAGATGTTGACACTATAGTATGTCTATTGCATGGCCTCTGGTTGTTTGGCAACATGGGCCTCTGGTTGCCTGGCAAACCTGGGCCTCTGGCTGTCTGGCAAGCTGGGCCTCTGGCTGGCTGGCAAGCTGGGCCTCTGGCTGGCTAGCAAGCTGGGCCTCTGGCTGGCTGGCAAGCTGGGCCTCAGGCTGGCTGGCAAGCTGGACCTCTGGTTATCTCCAAGCTGGCCTCTGGTTGTCTGGCAAACCTGGGCCTCTGACTAGCTGGCAAGCTGGGCTTCTGGTTCTCTGGCAACCTGGGCCTTTGGTTGTCTGGCAACCTGGGCTTCTGGCTGGCTGGCAACTTGGCCCTCTGGTTCTCTGGCAACCTGGGCCTCTGGTTCTCTGCAACCGGGGTCTCTGGTTGTCTGGCAACCTGGGATTCTGGCTGTCTGGCAACTTGAGCCTCTGATTTCCATCCTCGCAGGGGCTGTCAGCAACGGAATTAATTTCCAAATGCGCTAGAAGGTACGCTGTGTAAAAATGACCGCTGAAATTCGTTCAATTGAAATTAATTTCTTTAAAAACCTCTGGCGGAGGATCCTCTAGCTGGTACTGGAATGTGTGCAGCGGAATGCGTGTATATGTGTATCCAGCGCTGTCCGTGTTAAAAATGCACGTTAATAAAGATAAACTATTTCCAAGTCTGTGATAAACTATGAAAAACGGCTAAAAGTGTACTGAACTGATCTTCGCAGCAGATCGACTGAATGAACATTTTCGCGTTTCTACGTTTATTTCATCGAATGTTGGCAAACGTTCATGCATATATTGTTTTGTAAAACTTCACTCCTTCAAGACCACATGTTATTTTACGCCTGTCCAGTGTGTCCACAGATTACAACGATAGCAAATAAAGAATGCCTAGTATTTTTTCTGATGCCGGTTCGTCTAAAGCCGCATTTGCCACAAAGACGGATCATTCGTCAAGATGAATTTGACGCATGGAAAGTGAACCTGAAATTTCACCTTCTCATATAGCCTATGAGAGAATTTATTATAAGGAAATTTCATGGAAATTGAATGAAAGCATTTTCACATAATAGTATACAGTTGCTAGTGCTCAATTTGTTGTGTTGACAGTATAGGCAGGTGAAATTATTACCCATCCCCAAAGTCTTGTCATCATTTAATTATAACAAGAACTATGCCAGACTATATAAGCAGGTATATAAATAAACTTGCATAATGTATGAGGCAAAAGCCCTGAGGAATTTTCAGCAACTAAAAACAGATATATGTAGACAACTAAACTTGCACCCCTGTTTTACTACCCATCCCCACTGACACTGACCGCACAAAAAATCAACTTTTTTGGCATTCTTCAAATGCCCAAATAGAAATTAAAAGAAAATAATTTGTTGATCCTTTATCACACTATCACACCAAAAACTGTGCCAGATTTTAAAGTCTACTATACACAAACACTTATAGTTTGGCGTCTTGGCGACAGTAAGTCATGTATTTCAGAAATGTTGCATAAGCTTTCCGCTGGCGAGAGGCCAACATGTGTGTTCACTCCGTCTGTCACGCCTATTAGAAATTCGAACTTTTCTACGATCTACAGTATCTGCCGAATCTAATGTTAATCAGCTTAAATAAAGACTTTATATCTTCTTTACATTATACAAATAATGAATGTTTATGAGTGCAATGGTAAGAATATTTTCATGAGGTGAAAGATGGAATGTTCCATTCAACGAGGCGACAGCCGAGTTGAATGGAACATTCCATCTTTCACCGAATGAAAATATTCTTACCATTGCACGAAGAAACATTCATTATTTGTTTTATATAATACCAAAATAGACCAATAGATTCGTATGAGAAGCATTTTGAGGGATGCGATTTATCGGAAACGCAAAGAGTGCAATTGCACTATACGTTTTATTCCATTGCACTCGCGGAGAGTGCAATGGAACGTGTTGCACTCTTGGGAAATGAATTTTCTATTCAATATCACGTGACCATAAACAGCCAATTAAACGATTAGAATTTAATAAGGTATTATGTAATAAATGTTGGACGACGGAAACATGCTTATTCACTGTACAGTACGTTCTGTTCAATACATTAGCAGAGATATGTTAATTATAAACCAGTATACAAATAATGGATGTTTATGAATGCAATGGTAAGAATATTTTCATGAGGTGAAAGATGGAATGTTCCATTCAACGAGGCGACAGCCGAGTTTAAAATAATAAAAATACGATATTTTTACGTGTGTTGATACGATTTTCCAGCCAATGACAAGTCGCGAAATAAATTTAACTAACCAATCACAACGTAACAAAAACCTGAAAAACCATTAGCACACGATTCCATGAAATTAATGAAAAGGACGTTGACGAGTTCAATGAAACAGAGGAAAATCAGAATACCAAAAGAAAAACAGAACTAGACGTCAATTTAATTCATTCTTATATCGCAAGTGAAGCTGCAGGCTATGTCAATAGACCGCCGAGAATGGAAGAACTGTCGCCGTCTCAACTCAATGCAACGCTGCACATCGCTTTTCTGTAATAATTATCGAATTTATTTCTCGTGTTGAACAAAATATCTCGTTCGCCGCGCTCACTCGTGAGATATCATGTTCAACACTCGAAATAAATCTGGTATTTCCGCGCACCCATGTATTATTCTCTATTTTCGACATACATTTTTCCTAATTATTTTTCGGTACTTCAACAGCCAATAAATTTTATTTTTTATTTTTATTTATTTTACAAGCTTTATTGGACATAGAAATTCTAGATTACAAGGTGAACGTCCAATGGGGTTAGTGCAAACGGGCCAACGAGACCAACATGGGCGTACCGGAAGGAAAAAATTAGGGGGGCGGAAAGAAACTTGCCCGACTTTTTCGGATTGTGCCCGACCAGTGCCGAAAATTTTTTTTCCGGAACAAATTAATTTTGGCGACCTCCCCACCCCACCCCCCCGGACATACCAAAATTTTTCGGAACATCATACAAATTTTTCAAGAGATCACAAAATTGACAGAATTTCCCACAAGCCAATATTGCCCGACTGTGGAGCGAATATTGCCCGACTGGCTTTGTTTGCCCAACAAACTGGAATTTTGAAGATAATTTCAGAATATTTCTATCTTTCATATTTAGTATAATGGAACACACTTTGTGTATCAAAATATTTAAATGATTGGTTAATTTTATAAACAGAATTAATAAAATTCTGTCGTAAAAATGTAAACATTGTGTTACCACATGACATTAGGTAATGTTGTTCATTTCGAACTTCACCCTGATAACAAAGTTTACATTTTCTATCACAGTAGGCAATTTTTTTATATCGACCAATTTCTACTGGTAATCTGTGCGCTGAAACTCGTAATCTTGTAACTGCTTGACGGTTAACATTTTTAATTTCTAAAAGGTATTTTTCAATACCCGCCGATTTATATACATTTATATACATTTATTTATTTACATTCTTATATTCTTTCAATTTACCACTTTGAAGAACCTGGTCTTTCCAAAATGAGGTAGATGTACATCGATCGGAGCTAAAAACGGTTCATCTATGCCTGTTAATACATAGAGGATATTACACGGCGGCGCGAAGATATGCCAGATTTTTTATCTTGGAGTGGTGAAAACAATATTGAATTGTTTTTAACACGAGAAGATAAAAGTCATATCTTCAAGCCAACGTGTAATGTTCTGTTTCTTATATATAGTCCCATGCAAAAAATTGTATAAATACTAAAAGTCACGTGATCGATATCTTCACTGTCTATATAGTGAAGATATGGAAAATATCTCTGACTGTGTATTTTTCAGTATCTTACTCTCTACTATATAATAAAGTCCAATATCAATACTGTAGGACGGCGTGTTTAGAACCATGCGCAGTTTTGAGTAAATTGTTATTGCAACTTCTTACTATAAATCTGCATTTTCAGTGCTGGTTATTTAGTGTCTCCAGATTTTATATAGTCGTAGTTCAACTCTGAATCCTCTGACACATGATTTTTCCAAGAAATATGATATACAAAAAAACATTACTGTCATCACATGCCACACAAACAAAAGGTTTTAATTATAACTCCCACTTATATATATATTATACCATTTACTCATTTAGTACACTTCAAAACCACAATACCCAGGAGACATTTTGTTGGGACCCGTGCTGGGACTACTCAATTATATATCTAGAAAGTTGATTAAAAATAATCTACAACTTCCTTACCTCACCTAACAATATTAATTGCTACACGACAGCTATAGTGCACGTACCACGCAATATTCAATATGTTGTAAGGATTAAAATGGTATATATTAACATGCTGCCACATATTCGGATTGTTAATAAGTTTAAAAAACTCATTAATAATTCATGAAGAAAACACAAAAGAAACCATGGGCGTGAAGGAATCTGTATATGTGATACAGATTCATGTTGATTTATACATGCATAAACTTTAACTTTGATTTTCTCGGCTTAGACAACGTTTATTTTTAAAATTACTTCGCCAATGAACTCATAAGATGAGTCGTTTTTCGGCGAGAGTTTGTATATCCGATACAACGTTAACACGGCCGCTCATGTTGTAAATAGTACTAATTATCCATTATTGAAAAGGGCGTTTCTTTTACAAGCCTAACTGAAGGTGACTGTATTTTCACTCTTTAACTAAATAGTAAGATTGTTCCAGTCCATGATGAACGAGCTGTGCTATATATACAATTTTACATGATAATATTTTATTTATAGTTCAGACTAATGATGTCTAAAGACAAATATTATTATTAACTGGTTATAAGATGCTTTCTTCGGTGATTGTTTATTTTATGTTTAATAATATGCCTAGTAAAGTTAACGACCTGCCAACTTTCTGAAAGTTGGACTGACTACAAGTTACCAGCTAGCAGCCGGCATTTTCGTATGGCTTAAACAAGGCTTGGTTGACTATGTATGTTGGCACCTCTGATTTTTACTTTACAGCCGAAAATTTGAGAATTTTTTTGCCTAATAAGTACTAGTTAAAACATGAGCAGCCGATCTTTATCTGATATAAAAACTCGAGCCGAAAACGTGCTTAAACGACCCATCTTATGAGTTCATTGGCGAAGTAATTTTAAAAATAAACATACGGTCTAAGCCGTGAAAATCAAAGCTGAAGTTTATGTAAATCAGGACAAATTTTTATCCGATTTACAAACATTGATTAAACATTCATTTCTTTTGTATTGATTCACTTTTTAAAATCAATTTTTTGGCACAATTTCAGGTGTTGGCCTTAAGCCAGGCTGCCCTTGGGGAAGCCGTGGTCGGATGTGGCAGGAAAAGCTGAATTAACTATCTACAGGGTTGGTTTTCAAACTTTCATTGTGTACCCGTAACGTTTGTGGCTTAAATACTTCATTGTCCCTGCATGGTTATCAATTATCATAGTCAGGCGGCCTAAATGACCTCATTTTTGCAATTTACATGATCTACTAGATAGAAGTGAATCATCTTTACAAATAAGTTATCTGTTCGGTTTCACATTTTATCTATATATCACAGTGCCAGCGCGTTAGATGAAGGGCTTGGCTGCCTGGGCAAGGGGGTGACAACTAAAAAGATGGTCACACAATATTTGCAGTGTATCGAAACTTGGAAGACACACTCACACACAACATTTTCATCCATTTTCGTATAGTCACTTACGTCATGTCGACTGGCTATGGTTTTGGCTTTACCGACAAAATTTCTGGCACAGTAAATCTGTGAATCTCATTATAATCTGTCAATATAGTGGCTTGAAATATTTGGGCAGCCAATAATATACAACTTATGCTTCATAATGTACAACTATATTGCTACGTTGACCTTTGCATCCGCGGGTTAATCCAGGTTAATTTAATTTATTATGTACTACATATGCTTAAATTTAATAATCAATTTTAAAACTAATCCCAAGAAGCCGCCAGCGGGAAACAGTGGGCGAATGTGGGAGGAAAAGCAGCATTACCTAGTCTTTGTCCCAAAATATTTAATTTGGCCTCCCCTGATTATCATTGTACTTGATATAGGTGAATGGCCATATACTAATGGTCGGTCAACGGAGCGTGCAAGCTAGCATATAATAGATCGTATTCTATGTAGAAATAACAAGCTTATTATTAACCTTTAACCTTATTAACATATGAACTATCCAGATTATCTATAAAAGCGCAATGTTCTGGGAACAAATCATGATGAATTATCCGGAATTATACATAATTGCCGCCGCATGTCTTATTGGTTTTGCAATTTTAGTATACAACTATAATTAAGGTTGTCCTTCCAAAACATTAAACCTTAAACTCTGAACGCGCAAGGGATGATGGGTTTTCACCTATTAGGCCCTTAAACTCAGAAAATTGCGTTTGCAGCAAGTATGTTTTCTGTCGTGAGTCTTCTATATGTCTTAGGTATTCTTGCAAAGCCAAATTTCAAAGTTTATGAGTCTAAATAAGCAATAACCCATCATACCTTGCGCGCTCACAGTTTAAGGTTTAAGCTTTTGGAAGGACATGGGATTTCGAGTAATGGCCTAGTAACTTTATCACCAGATGTTTTAAAAGAATTGGGATGGGTTGATATGTGGACGTCTGGTGCAATATAGTCAGAAAAATTAGGGCGAGTCAAACATCCGATACAACACATTCACTGGCAGAAGAAGCAAACACGGCGCGAAACCGCAGACCGCGCGGAACGGTACTTTCACACCATATTTTCTCACGGCTTAATTTAAAATGAGTTTAAACTGGCATGCCAAACTATTTCCACACCCGAAAACCATTGGCTGGTAAATGAAAAATATACGGTTTCAGATTATTATTGTAACTAAGCAAAACCTGGAAAGTGTCTTTCTTGGCTCTATATTAAGTTCTAAACAGTTCCAGGAGAAAATCTGAAGTTTAATTTTGATTCAAACTGGAAGCATTCGTATTACAGATGTTAATAACGTTGTTGTCACAACTGGCTGTGCCAGTGTAGGTAGTGCCAAAAGTATTAACAAGCTTTCGTTGGGATGCAACTACCTGAAAAATATATGGGAAATTTCGACGTTTCAAGCCAAGCCCTTCGTCTGGAGTTACTACCACGACCCCCGCTAGTAACTTCAGACGAAGGACTTTCGCTCGAAACGTCGAAATTTTCCTGATATGTTTTTCAAGTGTAGTTGCATCCCAACCAACGAATTTAAAGCTTGTTAAGACTATTAAAAAGGTCGATTTTAACATTTTAACTCAGTTGTTGTGGCGTTGTTGTCGCATTTGGGCGAACAAATGACGCTGGGACTGATGCAGTAAATGCAGATCAGAGTACTTCACTTGCCTGAGGGGAAAATAGAAATTAGCCTTTTTAGTAGAATCTGGGCTTAATCAGTTGAACTGAATATTCGGGCGACCAGACAAGGTCTGGATCAGGAAAATTTATCCAGGAATTTTCACCCCAGTGCCAGTTGCTCCGTGAATTCCGGCGATCCAATTCGGGTTGAAAATTAAAGCTGACCCGGGTTGGCAAATATTTTCCCAATCCGGTTTCATGTTTTTTAACGCTATAAACGGCACACGTGGTTGGAATTGGGTTGAAATTAAATCAGGCTCGAATCAGTATCATAAGATACGAACATTTTCTCATACGTAGCTACTCTGCATGACAGCAAGTTTCCACCACATTAATCATGTTATTATCCAGTTTAGTAATGATAACATTGTAAACGTCACGATTTTGAACGATTCTGTCAAAACTAAAACTTCCCATTGATAATATACAGGCTCGTCTAAAGTATCCTCATTAAGCACACCTATATACTCATGACAGCAAGTTTCGACTACACTACAGCGATTTTATTATTCAGTTTAGTTATCATAACATCGTCACCATTTTGCCAAAACTAAACCCTATACTATAGCGATTTTATTATCCAGTTTAGTAATGAGAAAATTAATTGCCACCATTCCGCCAAAACTAAAACTTCCCATATGCATTATTTGAATATTTATATACAGCCGGTATGCAGGCTCGGCTAACTATCCCAAGACACCAGAATCAGAATCAATTTATTTGCACTTATTTCTAGAGTAGCTTACAAAGATATTCATTATATATTAATATACCATACATATTTAAATTAAATTAAATTATAAAAAAAAAATTATCATCAAGCGAAGAGTGCGTATAGTGGCCAAAGGAGCAAACGCTTTCGAGTTGATCACTACCATTATGAAGTTATATAGGAAAATTGAACGGCACAACTGATGTAGAAATAAGTTATATTAAGGAATTTCTAACTGTACTTTAATATAGTCTTTATAAAATATTAACACGAGCATTTTCTCCCCTATATACTCATGCATGACAGCAAGTTTCGACTACCCTACAGCGATTTTATTAACCAGTTTAATAATGATAACATTGCCACTAACTGTGCCAAAACTAAAACTTGCATTAATTTAACATTCATATAGCCTGCAGCCATGCAGTCCGGAAAATGAAACAGAATCTGTTGAAGATATCAAGACGATATAATATGGCGTGCGTGAATTAAAACCTGGCAACAACACAATGTTTTAAAGATTTCTCACGTAAAACAAGGGAGTGGGAAATAGCTTAATTTCCAAACTACTGCTTCCTTATTGTCCTATTGTTCGTTGTGTTTGTTCTGTTTTCCTTTTAATATAATATTGCGGAAACCGGAATTAATATTTTTCTTCTAAGAATAAAGCATATCCTGTGGCTCGGGTTAATAAATGCCATGGTGACCCCATGAGTTAATCAGTTTGTCTCAAACATTCGTTGTGGTATGATTTCCTGGTAAGGTAGAAATCTCAATCACAAAACACCGGCAAGACAAGGAATCGTATAGTTGTTTAATTAATGAAATATAGATATATTGGATACCAATAATGTCAGAAAAAAGTAATAAATACAGTCCCCTTATGGTGGTTGTCGTACTAAACGCGTCGTTTACATTCTTATTAATAATATTCGTTGCACATCAACAAATTGAGATGACAAACTTGAGACAAATGGTCAAAGAAAATAGTCAGAAGAAAGCAGAGAAACTGGAGACAACATCGAGCAGCAGTAACCAAGAGAAAATCAAACCTGAAGTCACTCTGTCGCAGGTATTGTTTAATTCAATTTTAATGTCAAGGTATTAATACATTCATGTGAATCATGTCTACCGGCATTTGAGCAGAAAATATTTCGTATCCACAGAAAAACAGCACAGAGACAGATGAAAATGAAGAGTTAAATAAAACACAATACGGTATAACGCGAGTAGCAAGAGACGCAAGTTCGAGATGCTGTGGTAAGTCTCACGGATCAATTCAACAATAAATTCAACGCTGCGTTGACATGCCTCGTTCTTTATTAAACGCCGTTTAATTTATTGAGGACAACTTTAGTTCATTGGACTATTCCAGGACAAAATAAAAGGGATTTTTAAAGAACGATGCATTTCTATACAGCTCAGGCTTTTATAGGCTCGTTTACAATAATACAGTGTTGTGATATTTGACCGCGGCAAGGACCACGGCTATAAATAGGTTATATAACATGCCCATGTCTGTATATATCGTGACTTTGTGGTTAACCCTGTGTTTGATTTCTTTCAGGCAAAAAACGTCGAGGAAAGAAAGGGGATACAGGTATATTTACTTCACATTTACGTTTGTATTAGCAACCTACTATGCAGTTTCCATTTGCAAACCATTTACATCGTGATCATGTCAAAGTTAAAGATGTAATAAAATGTCGATTATCTGAGTAATCACTAAAGACTGATTTGCATTTTGCATACAACATTATACAACAGACAAGATTGATCAGTAACATCGTCCAACGTGACTCAATCACGACAGCTGCAACCAAATGGTTCTTAACCGATAAAATTCATCATTCACGGCTAATTTAGCGTAGAATTATATTAGAAGTGATAGAAGTCTGTGAGTTGTACTATTCATTTTGTCTGCTTTTAAAACACTACTAAATAGTAAATTACTTATTTTTGGCACGTCTTCTATAGAACATATCATTTCACAGAGGTGACAGAAGCATTTCCAGTCGCGAGGCATGTTACTCAAGCCAGCTGCGTACATGCGCTAAACAATGTACAACTTGACCGCGAACTTGCATGGCCTGTCTATAAACTGAATGAAATTGATACATTGCCGTCCCACACACTTAAGTTCGAAATAAACAGAAAACAGTGTATAATATTTTCAACGTCAATACATAATGATGTATTTGTCTTTCTGATTGGCCAAAATGTTTACAAAGTTCATATCGTGATATTAAAAGGCAGTTGTAAATTAAAGGCATCAGTACTAAATCATGATTCATGAATTTCCTTTACGTACAGTAATTATACCATAGTCACTTTTCTTGCTTCAAACATTTTAAGCTTACAGACAGAGGCTTACAGACATGTCCCTATAAAAAAGTCATAAAAATTGCCCAAAGGCACTATGGTTGGTATTTTAGGAATAATTGAAACGTTGCCAAAACTCGGTTGCTGCGGGTTTGTGGAAATAGAAAGTGGGAAACAGGCTCAAAATATATTCGTGAGAAAAATACAATTTGACCTCTGTTTAATTTGACATCAGTTTCCTCCGGATGCAGTCAAAATACATTTATCAACGACCATGGCTGAGGTTTGTCTGACCATGTTTCGTATAAAAATGAGATAATATATAGTCAACTGTTGCTATCAGTAATGGTTTTACCACATCCGCCGCTAAATGTCATCATTTTGTTTCATTGAAAAGATCAATTATTGAATATTAAAAGCTAGGAGTTGGACAATGCCTAGTTCGTATATTAAAGTTCAGCACAAACTAACCCCATGATTTCTTGCATTATTAATTTCTACTGCCCGTACTGGCGCGTTCACTCACTATGCTAATTGGCTATACTTACGAACACACTTCGACTCGTGATGTAGTAAGTTTAGAAACGTCCGGGCATATACAAGCCCATATAGGTCTAGTGCTGTAAACGAAAGTTCCTATATATATTCAGGATTTATATGTATATTCTCGAGTCTTGACTTGCAAGTTGCAACATATCTCTTGAAAACCAATAACATATATGGCGGCAATGTACTGATGTTGCTGCCAAATTTAATGAACCAACATTGCCACAGTGCAAATCAAGAATGTTAATGTTCTAGCATACAGCATTGACAGCGCTGTACAAAAATATGTAATACATTGAAATAATACATCATCAAGAAAACATAATACATCTCCAGTCGTTTTTTCTTCTCTATTCAAAAACGATCTGTACGAAATGTGGCCAATATTCTCGTGTTTCGTGCACCAATACGGTATTCCTCTTCTTGATCTTGACACTCGCAACATTGTTCTTAAACCCAACCAGTGTGTGCAAAACATGGGGATATAACCTTTTATGCGCTTTAAATTTATGTCTGACGGCAAAACTTTTATACTGACCACGTTAAGATAAGAGTGGGTTTTTAGCATACAAACCATAATTCATAAACGAATAAATGGTTTGACGAGTGTGGAGTTTAGAACTGGAAATAAATAAATAAATGATAAGCGTTAAAGTTATAACAACACTGAAATTGCAAAATGAATGCAAAGTTGACAAATTGTTGAAAAGATTTACTGACATTGTGTACGCAACCTGGTCGAGTCTAGAGTCACTCGTTGACCACGTGACTACACAAGAATGTGAACTTTGGACTAGATGGAAATATGTGGAAATGAACCCAACATGGGGGCAGGATATTATAGAATATTGTTTTATATAATTAACATTGAATGGATTGAACATACTTCATGAATTCATGTCTATAAATACAACACAATGAAATGGTAATATAAAACTTATTTACGATTTCTTTCATTTGACTAAAGGCCGTTTTCCACCAGGCGGAATTTTCCGCGCGGAGCGGAATTTCTCTTTGTCTTTTCTAATTAAAGGTCCACCAGAGAAATTCTGCTCAGCGCGGAAAATTCCGCCTAGTGGAAAACGGGCTGAAGAGGCTGTTCATTAGAGCCGCGGGCGGCTAGCCGCAATGAACTTTATAAACAGTTATTGGAATCAAACTGGATGTTTATCAAAACTGTGAAACAAGGCACAGCCCGACTCCATATAAATAGATTCTAAAGAATATAAGGTCAATACATGTACTTTGTTTACAATGAGTTTTTAATTGATTATTATTTATCATCATTCGAGACAGTAAAAAACAAAATAAAGGTTTCAGTAATTTGACATTTATCCTGATTGTTTATGGGGATTTTTACTGTCGTGTGAACGAGAAGCACTCGAGTATGTAACAAAGCTCCTCTTGACTTGATTCAGCAGTCTACTATTTCCGGATTTATTCAACTGCCAACAGGGGGTTACACAAAACAATAGATTTGTACATCAATTAGTCATCATAAAAAATGTGGATTGGAATGCACGAGACAGCAAACCTGTTTTTAACCCGAAATTAAAATATTCCAATCTCAGTAGCGACAGCAGTTCTGACGAACATAGGGAAAATGGACAGTGCAGTACATATATAGATTAGAAATAGAAAAGTACAATTGTTTAGTTGTTAATACAAATTTAGGTTATAATTATGGACGAAATAAATTTATTACCCTAATACCCTGGCACTCGCTCTAGTAAATAAGATGTGCCTGATTCAACTTAAAGGGGCAGTGTCACGGTTCTACTGCGCATCCAAAATATGCGCGAACTTGAAAAACTGTTTGCCAACAATTAATTAATCAAGTTAGGAGTGAAATACGATATACTATTTATAATCCCTTCGTTATGCAGGACATCCTTACTTTGTTTTAAAAATTGAAGGCTGCTGCATCTTTTCCAATCATGTATCATTAATTTTAAACGTTTCTATTCGCCGTTTATTTTAGCCAATCAGCACCGTGATACTGCCCTTTTAAGGTGACTTAAGAAGTTTAAGAACAATGCTATAGTAAGGGTGTATCGCTCATTCTACTAGATTTTTAGACCAGATTCCGGTTTTATTACATTTGCATATATAAATAAAGCCTTATCGGGCAAGATATACTACCAGAATACTATTCTTAACCTTCCCAAGAAAAAAACACACTTTCACAGCTTCATTAATGTTTTCAGGGCTCATTTCGAGTTTATCTATTGGTCGAGTGTCGAGTGTCGAGGGTAAAAAGTCGAGGGTGAGGGTAAAAGGTCGAGGGTAAAAAGTCGAGGGTAAAAAGTCGAGGGTAAAAAAGTCACCAAAAAAATACAAATTCAATATTAAGGCCAGGTAACCGCTTCGGGTAAGGCCATAGCGACGTCTACGTGTCTTCTCGGCAGTATTGTTATATAATATGCGTTTCACGCACAAATGTTGGGACGTTCGCCTTTATTGGCATGTCAGGTTATTGACATATCCGACATGCCGCCATCCACTGGCTCGAATAAACATATTTGGCGGATATCACGCCTCATATATCCTAAGTCCTTACTTGCATCTTGCATTCTGTTCTTTGGCTTAAAATTTATTTGATCGATATTCCGCTTTCATTTTCGCTGAAAATATTTTCAGACGAATTATGATTCCGATGCTGTACTGTCAGCAAGTTCTGATGAGGATGTAGCCTCTCCTGTAGCATCTCCTATAATTACAGCTGTTTCAATTAAAAATCTCAAACCTTAAACTCTGAGACTGAGCGCGCAAGGTGTACTAGGGTTATTTTCCCAATCAAAAGCCCTAAAAAGAAGTTACTCATCACCTCAATCTGCTTTGCGGAATAATAATTTAGCCGATTATTTAATTAAGCGCATACAGTATACTAAAAAGAACCTTGTATATATATCAAGTTGCGATATAAATTCAGTGCCCCTACCGTACTATCGGTTTATTTTAATATTGCCGGTTAAAGCAGGGCGCTTTGTTTTAAAGAGCCCTCCTTAGTATGTAATATATTCTGTATGTGTAGAAAATAAACAATATATAACTGATTGCATTGCTGTCTGCACGGCTGCATGCAAATGCATCAGGACGCAAAGCCACGCTGTGGCATATTACATTTAAAACGCAGAATACGCCACGTGTCGTATATAGTATATGTGCGTGGAACGTATATTATAGGTTTGGTTATATTTGGTTTAGAAGTGCTCATATAACAACGCTGCCGAGAAGACACGTAGACGTCTATGGCCGTACCAAAGCGGTTACCTGACCTTAATATTGTATTTTTTTGTTATTTTTTTCACCCTTGACTTTTCACCCTCGACTTTTTACCCTCGCCTTTTTACCCGCGACTTTTAACCCTCGACTTTTTTTACCCTCGATTTTTTACCCTCACCCTCGACTTTTTACCCTCACCCTCGACTTTTTACCCTCGCCCTCGACTTTTTACCCTCGCCCTCGACATTTAACCCTCGACACTCGACACTCGACCAATAGATAAACTCGCCCATTTCCCTGTATTTCAAATGGTATCGGCACACCTGTTGTGATAGCAGTTGATTGAAATAAAATGTGGGAAAATTCCGTTGAAAAGCAAGCTTTCAAACAATAAGATACTATGCAGTAAAACAAACGACAAGGTGATGTTTGTATATATTGTATATCAATAGACAACTTGCATGTTAGACTAATTTTTGATTTAGACAAAAAAAGTAAATTCCCGTAAAGAACTTATCAAAATCAGTAAAATTGCAAAATTTGGTTGCGAAATGTTGCAAAATACAGAAAATATAGCCTTGCGAAGTTTGCATATTTTCAGTATGTTTGTATTACGTGCGAAATTGTTACCATTTTTGAGCCGAAAGTGGTAACAACTTCCGCACGTAATATACAAATATACTGAAAATATGCAAACTTCGCAAGGCTATATTTTCTGTATTTTACAACATTTCGCAACCAAATTTTTCAATTTTACTAATTTCATTACGTTCTTTTTAACTGTTGTGTTTGATTCCCACTTAGATTAAAATTTTAGTCTAACAAGTAACATGCAAGTTGTCCATTATCAAAACGCCAAATCAAACAACGCTTGGGTGTTACGGTAACAAAAGTAAATAACCGTGTGAAAATTTGCCAAATATGCAATTTAGAGATACATATATACGACGCCATTTTAAAAATGATGCAAACACAATAGAAAAGTCCTTTGGAGATAGCAAATAGCCGTGTGAATAAAAAGAAACAAATCTAGCGCGAAATATGCAATTTAGAGCTACACTGATTTTTGAAAATGATGCAAACACAATAGAAAAGTCCTTTGGAGATTGTAAATCAGCCGTGTCGGAATAAAAAGAAACAAATCTAGCGCGAAATATGCAATTTAGAGATACAATTTTTGAAAATGATGCAAACACAATGCCAATGGACAAATGAACGCATTCTTATATATTAAAGTTGCCTGCAGTACAAGTCATTGACTCTTGAAGTCAGATGGCATAATTTGCTTGCGTAAAGTGCTTCATGTCCGACTGTAGGCTACTACACTTTTCCATGAGTGCTTGGCAAAATGCACTGACTGTAGTGTAGTGGGGATTAGCTCTTATTGGTTCTCAGAGCGAACGGCGGTATAAAAAGAACTAATACAGTTATTTCATGCTGGTATAAATATTTAAAGATGATTATTATTCTGTGGTATGAACATAATGTCACGTTTCGGGTTTTCTATACGTTATAGAGCCATCGAGTTAGACACTAATAGTATATATGACGTAGGCTAGGTTTGAGTTTCGACAAACTGCAGACTACTTTTTGATTGTATTACGTCAACGGTAAGGTTCTCAATCTGCCAAGTTAATTTAAAGATTCTAGAATAGAAAATGTTGGCCCAGTTTCGAAGTTGTCCACAAAAACAATGGACTATATTATTGCCATAGTAAGAAAGAATGTTAATTAAAACAACAAAGCTGGTATGAATGAAGTTAGGTCAACACATTAGAACAGTAAGAAACATATTTTGAATAAGGAATGTGAATAAGACAAAATAATTGATGTAAGAACAATGAAAGTGTTGATTAACGCGGACGCTAATTGCCCAAAACAATAACCATTGTTATATGTATTGTTCTACTGAAACATTAATTAATCTTGGGAATGGATTGTCGATTTACTGAGGGGCTTGTTGAGTGTTCGGATGAATCGTGTCACGGCGAAATTGTTTTCCTGACGACAAACGATCGTTTGAATGAACTTTATACTGTTACTATAATCAAACTAAACTAATTCAACTTGGAAATTTGGGTGGTTATCAAACCTACAATGAGAACAGTTTTACTAAACGAATCATCCTTGGCCAGTTAACCAGGCCAGCCCAGCTCCTGCTTGCACATATGAACAGCCCCTATAGGTCGTGAACGTATTGTTTTTATACAGTAAAATAGCAGTAAAACTGTTTCTTTGTTCCATTGCAAACAAAGTTACAAACCCTCTATGAACCAAAAATATATATTTATTCATATATTTTAATTTGGCTATCCGGTTTTACTAGTTTACCAGTACGATAATAAAATGTTTGCTGCTACAGTAGATTGGACCCTAGCACACTGGGATCGGTTGTTCAAAAGTCCATTAGCACAACCCTATAACAACCCTATGAACCAAAAATATATAGTTTATTCATATATATTTTAATTTGGCTATCAGGTTTTACTAGTCTACCAGTACGATAATAAAATGTTTGCTGCTACAGTAGATTGGACCCTAGCACACTGGGATCGGTTGTTCAAAAGTCCATTAGCACAACCCTATAACAACCCTATGAACCAAAAATATATAGTTTATTCATATATATTTTAATTTGGCTATCAGGTTTTACTAGTCTACCAGTACGATAATAAAATGTTTGCTGCTACAGTAGATTGGACCCTAGCACACTGGGATCGGGTGTTCAAAAGTCCATTAGCATAACCCTATAGTTTCAAAGCAAACTTCCTGACAACTTTGTCTATAAATTTGGAAATGTTTCTTCAGAAATCTTGTCTGGATCGATAGGAGTTCACTACTCTGACGTCAGTTTGAGATAAACAGACGTGCAGAACTACACAAACCAAAACAGCGGCCGGGTTTAAATTTTAACCGAGGGTTAGTACTAATTACCCATGCACCTTTGAACAACAGGCCCCTGGTTTTTGAACCAACAATATCCTTAGATATCCTCTTCGGCCTGCCAACAGCTTACAGCACAAAATAATAGTTGAAAGGTACATAATATTACATACATAAGGCGAGACTTTTTTTATTAATTGGTTTACGGATTTGACTTTAAAAATAAGAGGTCGGTAGGTCGGGAAAAAAATTTTAAAAAAAAACGAACTGAGTATAAATGAGAACCGAAATTAATAATCTTTATAAAATTTTTTAACGTCAATTAAAAAAAACCCGCAAAAAACGTGGCTAACCTACATATTGATTGTCACAACGATAACATGAGCCAGCAGTACCTAGAGTCAAAGTTCACTTGAAGTGTACTTCATATAAGAACCCCAAATTAATTAAAATTAACTAAAATTGTAAAATTTTTGACATCTCCAATTTTTTATTTTATTTTTCACTTTCTGAATATTTACGGTCGGCGGATCCGTAAACCAATGAATAAAAAAAGTCTCGCCTAACATGCACTATAGGATTTGGGGATTACATAATATTAGGATTTTGGGCATCTCATTCGATGTAACTAATGTCTGAAGGGATTTGTAGATGGAAATTTCGAGTGGAATTTTTATACATTTATTGGAAGAGCAGTTGCGAAAAATGCAAATATCGCCTCTCTGGTAGGAATTTATCCTGCGGCCCTGATAAGGACTGTCATCAGTTCATCTACATGGACAGTTCATCTTCATATGAACTGTCTGTAGTCCAGAAGGCAGAACATTGTTGCAGTGGGAATATTAATAGCTCTCATATTTTGTATTTCTGAAGACATGTATGGATATACATGTGTCACACACGAAGTGCCAAAAGATGTAAATGGAAGCTTGCCAGAAAATATATTTTTACTATTTTAATCTATTTACCAACTGCATGACTGATTGTGCTATTTTAGGAACGGAACAAATTAATGTACAGACAATTAAACTTTGCTTCCTTGGTCAGAATTAGAATGCGGATGTGGTTGATTCACAATACGAATATATATCAAAATACGATTATCATTATCTGGCGAAACATGCGTATATGGCGAAATATACGTCATAATATGTGCCGCGCAAAAATTTCATACGTGATAAAGTGTGTGTATTAAACGCGCAAACATTTCTACCAAGTAGTGAAACTGCGCTGCGAATTGGTAGGGGGTGCGAATTTGGGTTCGATTTTTATTGTTACAAACGTCAGGCCTCAAACCGTGTTTTACTTTAATTAAACGCGTACTGTATTTATTCGCTTAAGCGCCGCCCTCGAATAAGCGCCGCATCAGAAACACTAAAAATGTAAAAGCGCTCAGTGCAGCGCTTAAACGAAGGTATTTACTAACTAATAGAATTCTTATCAGTGGTCGAAAAACACTTTTTAATCAGCTCAGAGTTTGAAAGAAAATACTTGTTTGGGCTGTGTGTGTTCGCTGCGCTCCTCCTCATGTCGTTGTTCTCTAATTGTTGCGTACTGATACACATGAAATAAAAACATGCTACCAGAAAATGCTCTTTAGTGTATATGTAATGATTGATTAATTTTGTGAATGACACACATACAGCTAGATGCCTAAATTCACAGTTATGAATTTCGTTTTAATACTAGGATCTCGGGGACCCAAAGGACCTAAAGGCCAGAGAGGACCAAAAGGTGGCAAAGGTAATTCTTACCTCACTTTATCCCACATTATCCTGTATTACCATCACATTTTTCCAAATGCTTTCTAATCGGCACTATCTATAAAACCCAGCGTCTGCAAAATAGAAAATAACTATTTCACATTTCATGGACATACAATTCAAATGACAAAAAAAAAACAATATAGTATAATTATAAATACAACAGCACATGTTGAAGAGAAAGTAGTTGTATTTCTAACTACGCACTAATTTCATGAACGGTGTACCAGTGAGAATATAAACTATAAAGTCTGTACATAATGCAACTACCTAAAAATACAGAAAGAACTTCGACGTTTCGAGCGAAGGCCCTCCGCCTGGAAGTACCTATCAGGCTATCACTGACTTCTTCAGGTCCTTCGCTCGAAACGTCGAAGTTCTTTATCATCTACAGAGTTCGTAGTTTATATTTATACTCACGAGCCGAGTCTGGGTTAAATTATACATGTAAAAACGCTCAAGATCTTAAAGATTTCCAAACAAGTTATAACAAGGTTGTTGTCAAGCCGATATCAGAGTGTGTTCGCACTGTTCCCAGTTGTTGTGACAAGTCTGGCACAAGTTGTTATCACCTTGTTACAAGGTTGATAACGGTAATAGACGTGCTATAAGTTGTTCCAACAAGACTAATACAGGCTGTTCGTAACAAGTTGCTACGAGCGTGTTGTCATCAACGTGTGTGGAAGCATCCAGAATGCTAGTCCGACAATCACTTGACCTACCTGTATTCAGGTAGTAAATGTAGATAAAATATTCTTTCACGTGGTCAACGTTACCTCAAAATCTACGTCATTTTATTTCTGCAGGAGAAACTGGTGAGAAAGGCGATCACGGTGACAAAGGTAAAATTTCAATATAGTAGTGCCCTATATCTCAAAGTTAAACCCCCAAATCCCAAATTGTTGCACTGAGCAAAATATGAGATCTAGACCACATTTCCCACTTTTTTCTATATCGATCCCATTGCTCATGTATTTCTTTCTTACCAAATCCCAGTTCCAACAGCAAACTTAAAAGAATATCGCTGAGCAGGTGTTTCACTTATGTGTTGACTTTATTGCACAATTTTCTGTTTTCAATAGCTGTCTTAATAGAAATAACTTCACGAAGTAAAATGTTCAAAGTCTATAAATAATATATCTATCAATATCTGTTAGTTGCTAAGTAAATCACTGATTCTCAGAAAAATGACCTGCAGCTGAAGAAGCTCGAATGCAGTCTCATGTGGCCAGGATATTTTTAGACAATCTCGCAATCAAAAGTTTCTCAGTAGGCTTTCGTTGAAGTTTTTTTTAAACTCGGAATGTCCAACTACAACTGTCTTTATGATGGTATTTGGATTTTCCCATTTTTGTGTCTGTCATTCCCAGTCCCAGTAACGTAAATCGTATTTTCCCACTCCAAAAATATGCAATCTCAGTTCCTATTTTACCCCCTTTAGGACCCATTTTCAAAAATTAAAATGAAATACGAAGCAAATTCGTTCGTCAAGTAAAATCTGGTGGCGAACAGTATTCATTACGAACTTCCTCTATTGTAATTGTGCAAGTAATCAAAGTAACACCCCGATTGCATTTCTCAATATATCACGTGTTTTCTCAATATATCACGTGTTTTCTTTCCTCAAGGTGACACCGGAGCACCAGGTGCACAGGGACCGCCAGGAGTATCACCCACTTTAAAACCTACACCAACAGTAAGTACTATTTCGGGATTCTACACTTTATTTGTCTATGGAACGCTGTATGCTTGTAAATGTGGTCAGCATGTATACTGTATCTTTAGCTTCATTAGCCTGTAGGTAATAGGTAGCTTTCATCCATCCATCCTCGTTCCCAGGGAGGTTGACTTTCATCACGGTCCAGTTCAGTGCATATGGAGAGCATTTAAAATAATCTCATGATTTGATATGCCATTGGGCTTATCATTAAAAAGATACCACATACCTTAGACTAAAGGTCTAATGTTTTAGTTTTTAAAGCGGACATGGTATTAAAACTGTCAACATGATGGTCCAATATCATCCTCCATTGTGGATGCAACATTGTTGGCCTTGTTTCAACACTGTGTTGGGTAATGTTGACTGATGTTGGAAGATGTTGCATTGGTTTGAAATTTCCATCCAACATTATTGGAGCAATAATAACGGACGATGATGGACTCGTGGCGCTTAACGACGTAACGAGAACAATACAAGCAGGTTGCTCAGACATCCTCATCGTCTACGCACGTAAAGACGCATTACTTGAGTAGGAAACCAGCAACAGACTTTAATTACAATGCTGTTTCAACAAATTGTTATCAGGATATGTTCGCACTGTTGCTAGCCTCTTGACAATTTGTTTGCAAGGTTGTTGACTCAACCAACTTGTTACAAGTTGTTATACCGTCCTGCAATTTAACAACTTGTCAACAAGATGGGACCAACTGTTTTTAGCAACATGACAAACAAACAATATTGTTACAGCTTGTTGACAAGCTTGCTACGAGCCTGCATGTTACCAACACAACTTGTTGACAAAAATGTGAAATTTGACAACTGATTTACCGTAATGAAGTCACATAGCGCCTTATCATGAGCCGTAATTAGAAATTATTGTCGGTGAGAAATTTGAAAATCTTAGATATTATTTATTTTTTACAGTATGCTGAATCCGCTCATCTCGTAGGGTATGGTCGTGCAAGAAGACCAGACTTATGTAAGTAACAGCGAATTCGTTATGATTAACAGTGTTTGATAATTATATTGATATCATCAGTGTGTTAGTGATATATTGATATCACCAGTGTTTGATATATTGATAGTGTTTGATATATTGTTAAAAACTCATTAATAATTCATAAGGAAAGGACAAAGGAAATCACCACAGTGTCGGTGTTTTTATATATGTGATAAAAATCATGATGATTTACATAAACTTTAGCTTTGATATTTTCAGCTCAGACAACTCGTTGATATTTAGAATTACTCCGCCAATGAACTCATAAGTTAAGTCGTTTTTTAAGCCATTTAAAACACGAGCAGGAGTGCTTTATCAGATATAAGGCACTCGACTGTCGCCTCGTGTTTTATACCTGATAAAAAATAGTACATACTATATATATATATCATCAGTGTTTGATATATTGATATCATTGCAGTGCGCTGCCCCAGTGCTGATACATAATTGATTATTATACTGATACCATAAGTGTGTTTGGAGTTCTCTTTTAATTCAAGTCCGTTTGAGAAATAACAGAACAAAGTTGAAAGCTGTTTATACCCATCAACATACGTTTCGGTATTTCATACGCCAGTGATAAACACTTCCTTATTTATTATACATTACATGAGAGTGCATGCACAAATGAACAGAATCTTGGTAACAGAATATTTTTACGTTTCTACAGCATACAACAGAATAACAAAGTGGCTTGTTGGTCACACCTCAGGAGGAATGCTCTACAGTAATGGTTATCTTTACGTAGCACACGATGGGTATTACTACATCTACTCCCAAATGTATTACTATGCTGGTGACACAGCAGTAATGGCGCACAGAATGAAAATTAATGATGTTGTCATGTTAACTGGACACAGCAGTGCAAGTTCAAGCAATAAATTCAATACAAACTATGTTGGAGGAGTCTTCCGTCTTAACAAAGGACAACGTATCTCTGTTGCAGCGCCATTTACTAAGACATATTACTTCAACAGACATGAGTCATATTTTGGAGCATTCTTGCTTCATGTATAAATCATTGTCACTGAACTTGAAAAGATTTGGAATAATTACTCTTAGAAATTCCTCTGATTAACCCGACTATTAGAAATTCCTCATTGGCCTTCGAAACCTATGCTATCAGATCGTTTGTTAACAAACTTAAAATAAGTATTAACAGCCATTGTTTCTATGGATGCTATAAGTAATAACAGCTATTGTCTCTAAAAATTAATTTGTCAAATTTTCAGCTAGAAGTAATCACAAACACTTCAAGTCTTTCATAATTTTAAGTTTTTAGTTGGCTACTTTTTGTGTTTATTAGGCTGATCTCTGATTTGAAAATATTAGTTTGACGGCACCTATCATTCCAGGTTTTTAATATAGTTCAGTAGCTCTGTAAAATCGGAACGTGGTTCATTGTAGCTTTCCATGAACTCAGATAACATCAGCCAAAATTTTAAAATATTAAACAAATCCAGTAGAATTGTTTATTATTATACAAAATGATTTTCCAATGCTGCTCTTACTTTTTGTGATATATAATTATAGAATTATATATTTTGTAAATATATAACTAATTGTAGATACGTCAGTGTAAAATATGTTTTAAGATATGATCATGATTATAAATATACGGTAGTATTTTACATTTTTAATCGATAATTTGCCCAAAATATTTTTGTACAGTAAATACCAATAAGTGTTAATTCAATTTAAGTGTTCACATACACTGTAGACTATTATAGATTTTTATATATGCCTGGGCTTCTACATTTTTGTAATATAATATATAGATAATCTGATACATGCAAATTGTAAATAAATGTAAATATAAATGATTAAAAAATAAACTTATTTAGATCTTAAGAGATAAGGTTGTAGTATTTTCAATTTGAATAAAGGTATTGTAGAAATTGAGAAATGTCTTGTTCTCTTATTATCCACAGGGTTTCCACCCTTTAGTGAAGATGAAATTCATGGACTTTCAAAAAGACTTTTCAGGACTTTCATGGACGTTTTTCGGTAAATTTAAAGTGCCTATGACACGAAATTTCACCCCAAAGGTTTATGGTTGCATTGTAAAGGTCACTTAAAATGACTTAATAGTTTCTTTTATAGAATCTTGGTAACTTACTCCCTTTTCAAGGGGGGGGGGGTGAATAGGGGTGTACAAATCCGCCCAAATTTGAAGCAAAATCCGCGATCCGACAATGGTCTTGTCTAAATTTGAATCCGCTAAAAGCTCTACTATGAAGTCACAATCCAGGATCCGAACTAAATTGCAAGCTAAATCCACAATCCGAGCCAAAATATTAGATAAATCCGCAATCCGCAAATCCGTGTAATATATTCGCCAGATCCGAAATCCGAACAATTTTTTCTGTGAAATCCGACGATCCGGAAACCTATTCACACCCCCACACCCCCTTTCAAGATATTCAACTTTGTTTCATATGCAAATATCACCGGTGTGACATCACATCACATCACATCACATCACATCACATCACATAATGAGTTTTCAGAAAAGTATAGTTTTCTTGACGAATACGTATCTAAAAACTTAAAAATTGCCCTTGTTTATGTATTGATTTCATAACTGGTAATTAACCCTCTGTATTTGTTTGTAAAAATATTTTATCAAGGTAAAATATTGCGTTTTCAAAACGTCATTATGCGATGTGATGTCACACCGGTGATATTTGCATATGAAACAAAGTTAAATATCTTGCAAAGGAAGCAAGTTACGAAAATTCTATAAAAGAAATTATTAAGTCATTTTAGGTGATCTTTACAATGCAATCATAAATATTTGTGGTGAAATTTCGTGCCATAGGCACTTTAAGGACGAAAAACTGGAAAATTTTTGAATATGGTACAGATTTTGCTTTTTGAAGCACTACTAGTACTAGTATTTATTTTTAATCAGTAGTCTAAATAATGTTCAAGTATTATCAGCACAGCAGGAAAGAAATTCCAGTATTTTCAAGGACCTTTAATCAGGAGCGTTGTTAGAGGGGGGAGAGGGAATGGAACACCCACAATCATCAAGCATTCGGAAAATTATTGAATCCCAGTGGGAAATTGTGTTCGTAGTTGGCAAAACTTGAATTGGATAGGAAGGGGAAAACTAAAATATATTATGAGTTACACTGATTAAAAATTAATATTTATAACAAACATTTGGGAAATTTATGAAAAAATAGAGGAAAAATTACCAGGAAAGGAAAGGAAAATAAGTCAACAACGTTGTGAAAAGATATATTAATTAGTGGTTGAGACAAGTGGACAAAATTGCATGTTCACCCCTCATTTTAAAAAGGACCAGCCACGCCCCTGCTTGCAATAATTACTTTCCAGGTCTGTATTTCCAGGCCTTTCATTTCTTTCAAATATAAGCAGTTCACAGTCACTCACAATGGGTAACTAAATCAGACTATTTGGTTGTTTGTTTGGTCAGGCTGTTAGATAGTAGTCCGTTAGTCGGAAGGTCAGTCAGCTGATCAGTGGTTTAGTTAGTTGGTGAGTCAGCCATAAATTTAGCCAGTCTATCAGTCAGATCATACCAGGGGATGAGGGTGAGTCACTCAGCTAGTCAGTCAACTCACCAGTCAATGATCAGTGTAAAATTTTGGTGAATACCTGCAGAGGATCAATACAACCAGGACTGAAATAATTATGAGGAGACTGAGACCAAACATTAGACAAAGGATCCATAGTAGCCCTCTTTTATAGCACACTGGACGATGGCTGGGTACCTGTAGACACATTATATACAAAGTTTGATTACATCAGAATAATTACAGTAGGAGGTATACAGTGAATGAGCTTTCAAAATTGTGATAATGATTACATTAAAATCCATTAATTTTCAAGCTTACTTTTCATACTGTATCAGTCCAATTCACAATTAAATGTCATCAAGCTTTGTATCTATTAAAATTCCATTTGAGTTGGTATACTATTTTGTTACTTTCTAAAACTTGGTCGCATTCTCCTCATCAACTTCAATGACCAAATTGAACATTTCTGGACTTTTTTGAGTGGTAGGCAAGAAGCTGACAAAATGTAGTAAGTTTAATATTTTCAGCCAGCCTCACCCGATCAGCAACAGTAGCCATCTCATACATTTAGTCATTTAAATATATGCTATGTTATATATAAAGCCAGTTATAACCAGAAATATATTAAATCCCACTCTTTTCCCAACTTGCAACTAATATTAAATCACAATGTAAATGAAACGAATCTGGAATATTTTAATATTAAAAATATTCAAACTGAATTACTGAAATATAATACATACTAATTACTAATCTGTTCCTAATCAGCCTTTTGTAAAGTTTTCTTAGGTCAACGTTGTTCTAAAAATGTTAATATGTTCTACATGAAATTTCTTGATTAACATGGTAAGAAATTACTAGTATATCTTATACCGAAGGAATAATACATTTTTAGAAGCAAAAGTAAGATGTAAATAACGAGAAACTGGAATTTGACTTACTCAGCACATTTTTCCCGTCACAAGGCGAAATGGGGTTTTTCCTAGGGGCTAGGGACCCTACGAGTTTCGTTTGAAGAAAAGGAATAAATTAAAAATTTGAAAGTAAAACAAAATACTTTCCACAAAAACAATGTATTACCTGTATTACCTTATCATGTGTTATGTACTTTGATACATCTCATTCTGGTGTATATTTTTTATTAAAGGTTATTTTCTTTATACAGAGTTCATACAGTGACAACTGAGAACGCGCTTTATAAATTTGTGCATTGTTAATAAATACCTAAATACTTTTCTTACCTCTCTAAGTTTTCAAAATATTCATCGTTTGTCCTTTACACTGAATGTGTTATGTGTATAAAACATTTCTGTGAACATGATTTCGATACAACCATGCCGATGTCACAAATTCAGCATTTCAGCTCGCTGTTGAAATTTGAACGTTCCGGAAATACTGCAATGTGACGTTTGTGATGCATGCTCAAATTTTAACCAATGAAAATCTGTGTATACGCCTCTATGAGGTGTGATATCCGCCAAAATTCATATATTCAATTATGCCATTGGAAATGCATTTATGAAGTTCAGTTATGCTATTATGATATTCGATATTATGTTATTCGAATTTCATTCGGCATGAAACAGTCATTATTGAAATTTCATTCGGCGTGAAACAGTCATTATTGAAATAGTCATTCGGCATGGCACTCAGAAACCAAAACTCGACTTCCCATTTAGCGGGAAAAGCACGCGGGGAGTGTAATTTCAACATGGGCGAAGGCGAAGGCAATTTAAGTCAACAGCGTGCTGTTTCTTTGTTGCAAGAAGCGACAGGATTGATCAGAAAATATCTTGGATCATCAAATGATGCTTCTTCAGCACAAGTTGCGAGTCCAAATCAGTAATTTCTCAAAGCGAATCGCATGCTACTACGTACATCATCTGGCAGCACTGCCGTCAATACATCAAATCCAGAAAGAGTGTTGGGGAATTTTAGAAATCTTTTTGCGCCGTATGGGCATACTGGTCGCCGATGTCTAAGTTCCTCAACACAGTTGTTTCCAATACGTCTACAACACTTATATTTCTGTCTTGTTGACTTAAATTGCCTTCGCCTTCGGTCATGGTGGAATTACAATTTCCCGCTAAACCGAAAGTCGAGTTTTGGTTTCTGAGTGCCATGCCGAACCGGAAGTCGAATTTTGGTTTCTGAGTGCCATGCCGAATGACTGTTTCACGCCGAATGAAATTTCAATAATGACTGTTTCACGCCGAATGAAATTTCAATAATGACTGACATGACTGTTTCACGCCGAATGAAATTCGAATAACATAATATCGAATATCATAATAGCATAACTGAACTTCATAAATGCAATTTCCAATTGCATAATTGAATATATGAATTTTGGCGGATATCACATCTCATACGCCTCATCCGGACTGTACACGCAATTTATGCAACTTGAACGCTCCGCATCAGGTTCCGCATACACACAGAGAAGATATAGAGAACCAGACACAGTACTAAATGCGGTGCCCGCCTACAAATAAAATTTCCGGCGTTTCCGCCTACATGTACGAGTAAAGTTATATTTAGCACGCTACATTGCCTACATTCTAACATTCTCCTGTCGGCCGCCAGTTGGTCCGTACGATCAAAACTGCGTTTTAAAGCCTTCAAAATAAATTTTTTGGGGCTCAAAATACTATCAAAATGAAGAGAAAAGTGAGACGAATATTCTGGTAGACGGCCGAATAGAGAAAACCAACGATACCGAAGTTGTTTAACTCTTTCCCGACAGGTCCCTATTAAACAAATCAGTCAAGATTTATCATTTTTGCGGTTCATATCTTCAGTTTGGTAAATGCTACGTGGACCAAAATACCACCATTCGATTCAGTGTAACGATAGCTACTCATTCCTATCGATAGATTTAGTGAATGGCAACATTATAGCGATTTATGAGCTTTGAAAGTCAAACGAGCTCGTATATGATCAAATTACGCAAAAAAGCGTTAGTGCCTTGCCCGTTCCTGAAAAGGAGAGGTCACTGCTTAAAGGGAGACAGATGCGACTTTCTGCATAAGAAAGTCCTACCTGTAACAAGTGGATCGAAGTTTCAACAAAAGCGTGATAATATACCACAATCAGGCAGTAACCAATTCCCTTTTCCCTTCGACCTAAGTTATTTTTCCCCATTTCGACTCCCAATGTTTTATCCCCCCCTACAGCCGTTTCCGTATCTGCATACACCCCCACCTCCGACCCTACCAAGCCCCCCACCTCTTATGTCATTATGGACAAGACCCCCCGTTTACTAAATGAAGAGACATCCTACAATCCTAATTTGAAGATACCGGTTAGAATAACATCACGCTTTAGTAAAACAAACTATGATCAAAATACCCCCACGCGAATTTATAATCCCAACAAGATTAGGAATACACATGCAAATTTAATTGCTATCAAGCCCACCAGAAATGGTCCTCCTACGCAAAAGATCATACCCAAATGCATGGTTATAAATGCACGTTCTCTTGCCAAACCTCAGGCAGTTCTGCGTTGGATGTTGAGCTCTCCACATGGGAAATTGACATCTGCTTCGTGTGCGAGACATGGTTGAACAGTAAGATATTATCAAATTTAGTATGTCCCAATAACTATCTTATTGTAAGAAAAGATCGCGGCGATGGTCGAAATGGAGGAGGTGTTGCTATAATTTGTCGGGAAGATTGGAAGTGTAAATCTCTAAACTTTCAAAATAATTTGGAATGCATCTGGTGTGAAATTGAGACAGCAAATAGCAAATACTATGTCGCCTCTGTGTATCACCCTCCGGACCCCACATATCAGGAAAGCGAATTACTAAATCATTTATCAGAGAGTATTGAGCAAATTCTTCAGTGGGAATCAAATGCCAGAATTATAATTGGAGGAGATGTTAATCAACTGAAGGTTAAGGATATTATAAGTCAACATAATATGGAACAAATGGTGAGAAAACCTACAAGAGGTCAGAAAATACTTGACATTTTCCTAACTAATTGTCCACACTTATGGAATCACCCTAAAGTCTTTGATGGCTTAGTAAAATCTGACCATTTGGCTGTCGTGATAACTCCACGGGTAGCTGTAAAACCGGAAAGAAAAACAGTTTATTTTAGAGATGCAAGAGACCATCGAAAGTTTGCTATGGTGAGAGAGTTGGAAGCAC